GAAGGAAGGAAGGAAGGAAGGAAGGAAGGAAGGAAGGAAGGAAGGAAAAGAAAGAAAGAGAGAGAAATGGCAAATAGCACCCAGCACCCAGTCCTAATTTCCATCTGAGTCCCAAAGCAGAGAATTCTGGTCTGGTCATTCTTCCGTAGGGTGGATGAGGATGGCGACCAAGCTGAGGTTGCTGACCCCATTTTGGGCAGTGATTCCATTGCTCTAATCTTTAGATGTTCATCTTGTTCTTGTGGGAAGTCAAGACAGGGCAAGTTTTAAGCGTATCATCTAAACAAGCAAAACGTGGCCTCCCATTTGCCCGGGGTCTTCCCCCCTGCGGTGCTTTGGCACCACAGCAAACACTGCAAAACCATCTCTCTCTCCTAGGACGGGGGGTGGGGGCCAGTTATCTTTCTTATATTTCATTGGCTTAGGATACTATCTTCCTTGGAAGAAGAAAATGGTAATTCTAGAAATAAAAATGTTTGTCCAGCTAGACAGGGCCAAGCAGTACAAAATTATCTGATCCATTGTGTATTTTAAACTAAAACATTGTTGCTATCTGAACCCAGAATAGCATAGCCTGTGTTTCTCTATTGAAAGGGGGGAAAGAAAACCGCAACAACCCCGCCTGGGAAAACTACCCACACAAGACTGAGGCCTGATTTTACCTCTTTCCTTTCATAGCGACCAAGGTTAGATGATCACAAACAGATCTTTACCCTGCTTCCCAGGATTGTTGTGAGGATTATAAATGGAATAACAAAATTACTCTGTCAAGTGCAAAATGCCACATAAATATTAGTTAGGTTATCACAAAAAGAGAACTGGAATCACTCCAAGATTGTGCTGGAGATGGCAGCAACGAACTGAAGAGACAGCTGGGCAAATACACCAGACAGGAAGGACGTCTGACTCCTGAATACAGGCTGGATTCCCTTTCGCTGAGCTACACCTGCCAGACTGGAAGTCCCTGGTGCTTCAGTCATGAATGGGCACGTCCTGTCCAGAGCTGCACGGCCTTGCCCCAGTCTGGCCCTTGGCTCCACCCTGCCGTGCTGGCCCAGAGCCAAGTCTGGGCTAACTTCCCCTCTAATATGCCTGGTACTACCTCTTCCGGTACCATCAGGCCTTAAGCCAGAGCCTCGAATTTTGCATGACACGAGTGGTCCAATAATGAGAATACTCCTTCCGGTGTGCTCGGGAATTATCCTTCCCTCCTCTTTCCCCTTAAATCGCTACTTTTTCATTTCTTCTCTGTGCCAGGGCTCCAGAATAGGATGCAGGAGGTTACGAAGCCAGTGACAGGGTGAAGGAACTAATTAGGCCCATTAACCACGTCTCTGAACTGGGCCTCAGCTGCTTCCACTAGTGCTAATTCCTCGCTAACTCCTTGTTTCCAGTAGCTAAAACGTAATAAGGTAATAACTATTTGCTGAATGAAAACAAATATCAAATTAATGAATCAGCAAATACACACCAGATGAAGCCCTAGGCCTTTTCCCGGACCCTGACTTCCCCTATCCCTGACCTGCTCTTCACTTGCTCTTATGGTCAAATACTAGGGCAGTCTCAGCTTGGTTTCCCAGATTGACTTTAACTTTAGTTCTTTCTGCACAAAGGATGACTGTCAGCACATCTGTTCTTTTGTGTGAGTTTTGAAAGAAGAAAAGAAACTAAAAAAGGACGAACCTCACTTTCCATCTATTTCTCAGAAGGAAGAGAATAATTCTGACAGTGTGTGTGTGTGTGTGTGTGTGTGTGTGTGTGTGTGTGTGTGTTTAGGAGTGGTACAGAGATATTGTGAGGGTTTTGTTTTGTTTTGTTTTCCCTACAGAATAAAGAGACTCCCTGGCTAAAAAGCACAGTTGCTAACAATAGAGGCATATTAACTCCCACCAAATATAGAAGGTAAAAGGAGAACAGCTTTAGATTCCCACTGCTCACTATTCCTATCTTCAGATGCCCTGAGGATCGGAAGGGTAGAGCCAGGTTTTTCTGGTGTTCAATGGTGGTTCAACACTGCTATATCTATATGAACACCAGATGATATCAAACAATCAAATATACGTGTAACTGGAATGCCAGAAGGAGATAAGAGAGAGAATGGGGCAGAAAAATGTATTTGAAGAAATAATATCTAAGACTTTTCTTGATTTGATGAAAGACAGAAATTTGCAGATACAAGATTGTAAATAAACACTACACAGAATAAACACCAAAAAAGACATACTGGTGCACATCAGAGTCAAATTATTGAAAGCCAAGGATAAAAAGCAAATCTTGAAAGCAGCAAGAGAAAATGACATATTACATAGAGGAGAAAATGATCTGGTCAACAGCTGACTTTTTCAGTGGAAACCATGAAGGCCAGAAGACAATGGGAAAACATCTCTAAAATGCCAAAAGAAAAAAACTCCGTCAATCCAGAAGTCTATATTCAGGGGATATGTAATTCAAGTATGAAAATAAAATAACATGTTCAGATAAAACTAAGAGGACTTGTAGCCAACAGACCTGCACAACAAGAAACAATAAAAGAAGTTCTGGGCGCCTGGGTGGCTCAGTTGGTTAAGCGACTGCCTTTGGCTCAGGTCATGATCCTGGAGTCCTGGGATCGAGTCCCACATCGGGCTCCCTGCTCAGCAGGGAGTCTGCTTCTCCCTCTCACCCTCTTCCCTCTCGTGCTCTCTCTCAAATAAATAAATAAAATCTTAAAAGAAAAAAGAAACAATAAAAGAAGTTCTAAATTATTTGTTTATCACATTGTCTTGGAAATTTATTACTAGTAGAGGCATTGCATATGAGCTTCAGTTTCTCACAGCCTTCCTTTTCTATAGGATAGATAATATATTTACCTGATGGGATGCTTAGAGTCTGGAATTGCTTCTTTTCTCTTTTCTAGCCTCTTCCCACAACTGTGGGTTTGTTTTGAGGGTAGACTGGGTAGGAATGGGGTTAAGGATGGAATCCTTGAAATCTAACAGAAAGAGAAATTGATATAACATAACATATATATGGCTGGGGTGCAGAGAATCAGGGCAGGTAAGAAAAACAGACTGAGATTAAATGCTCCCCTGGGAAAAGCTAGGTTACTAGGAATAGGCCTGAGAATCTATCCTAAATTGTGGAAGAACCTGGGGAAGAAAAATCTAGGTAATCTACCTAGTCCCTTCCCTGACCTGTATGCCTTCTGACCCTACAATAACTCCTAATCTTCTTTAGATTTGACAGGAATGTCTCTATGTCTTACGTAGGACTTAGTTCCTTCACGTATCTGATCACCAGTCAGTGTTGGAGGTAAATAAGAGATAGTGGGATTTGGGAAATACCAAGGAGAGAAATTACAGATACAGTTCCAAGGTATGCTCTGTGACTAGAAGAAGACATCAGAGAAGTAGGATGGTGTCTGTATCATCTATGTAAATCATAAATGCTGAGTGAGTAGGATAGGGCAGACAAACTGGCCTCAGAGTTCCTTCTGGAACCCTGAGATATAATGTTTTAGCAGCTAGGATACTACAGGCTCCCAGTTGTATACAGGATGCCAATTTCCATGAGAGGTTGCTAAATTTTTGGTTTATTTTAGGGAGATGTTTAAAATGTGGTGGTTTTTTTTTTCCCTTTTTTTGTTTATAAATATTCCTTTTAACAAACTTAATTTTTGTTCTGCCTTGGATTTGGCACCTCCTTCAGAAAGAAAGGGGACTCAGGGTGAATTTTACCAGGTCCAGAACCCAGAAACACAAATGACATTAACCAAATGGTGAGAGGGAAATGGAGACTAGCTATCTGCCTATCAGGAATAAAAAAAAACAGGTTTTGCCCTAGCCCAAGTCTCTGCAGCATTATGCTGAGAAGGATTCAGAGGCTTAGAAAGGGGCTTGAATATGGGCTTTGAAAGGAAGTACCACCATTAATTGGTGATGTCTGCCTGGGAATGAGACCATGCGGTCAAGAGTGCTGTTCTTGGCTTGGGTGGTTTGTTTGCAGATTGACTGGTCCCCAGGAGATAAGGGGCTTCCTAGCCTAACACAAAGGAGTCCAGCCTCACTGTGTCACGGAAGCACAGAACCTGTCTGTCAGGTCTTGGTCAGGTCCTCATCGAAGAGTTAAGAAAAACACTTGAGTGTGAGAGCGGGAAAAGCCTGTTTATCATCACCGATATTTGCTAAGTTCCTCACATGGGTTGGTTGGCCAGTTCAGACGGGCCTAAGGTTTGGGCCCATCCCTCTAGAGCCAGCCTTGCTAACCTCTCCTGCCCTAAGTAACGAAGGAAGCCATGGGATCATTTGATCTGCACAGATTTCTCCTTTGCCAACATAAGTCAGGGGGCTCTGAGTTTTGTACAAGGGACTAGCCCCCACTCTGCCTCTAAAGGCCAACAGAAATATTGGGTCTTGTAACCCCATTTTGTTATACTTAGAAGGAACCATGATTCTGCCTCCAAACCCAACTAACAGAAACCCTTTCTCTAGAACGAGTGCTGTGTCAAGGGCAAGGGGTATAGGGTGGTCACTTGAGTTGCAGTCCGGCGTTTCGTGCGGAGACCCGGGGCAGGAAGTGTGGAGGAAAAAGAGATACTCTGATCCTGTCCGGTGGCTGTAGGGTGGGGAAGAAGGTTTAGCTTCTGCAGACCACGTGGTGGAACTTGGGCAGAGATCAACGTCTTATTGCTCGTGAGAGTTTGTGGGGTAGTTGCTCTCCCGAGTGGAGGCGGGTGGGGAGGTCCCTACCTTGTTGGCCTTTTTTATGTGGTGGAGAGGCGAGTGAGGAAGACTGAATGGATGACCCTTGGGTATGGTTAGTCTTTCTGGGGACTGTACCAGACCCATCAACAAGACTGAGAATGACCTCCTTCTCCTGCCTCAGATCCCCTTCCCAGGAGAAGCCCAGCTCTCACCTCTGCGAACTAACCTTAGAGCGAGAGAGCGCTCCGGAGAGAGCCCCATGTGGGGTGCAACAGGCATGTGTCCGACACGGCTAGGCCTTCCCCGAAACTTTGGGGGCTCTGCAGGGGCAGGAAACGCACCACCCAACCTCAACATGTCACCTCGGGGAGGAGGAGCCAGGTGGGCCGTCGCTGCTCCAGAAAAGGGCTGCCGGGACCGGGGCTTCAGGGCCTCCCCGAGGGGAGAGCGGGGCACTGGCACTAGGCCCGCGGGGTCCGGTGCCCCGGGATTCCGGGGGTAAGGAGCCGCGCCCGGGCTAAGCTTGGGTTCCCGAGGGTGGGGGAGTCGGTGCCGGCCGCGGGCGGGCGGGCCGTCAGCTGCCCGGCCCGTCGCCTGCCTCCCCGCCCCCCGGCTTCCTGCGGAGGCCGCGGCCGCCATGTTGTTGTGGGGCTGAGGCGGCGCCGTGGAGCCCGAGCTACCGTGACAGGCTGCGCAACAGGTTCGCTGTCGGCGGCCTGGGGACGAGCCGAGCGGCGGCGGCGGCCGAGCAGGATCTCTCGGCGTCCGCCCGCGGTCGCGCTGCCGGTGCCGAGGAGCGCGGGGTCGCGCTGTGACGTGCGGGAGGCGCGGCGGGGGCGCCAGGTGGGTGAAGCGGCCGGCGGGGGCCGCGCTAGGGCGCGGGGCAGGTGCGGGCGCCGGCGCGCTCGCCGCGGGGGAGGCTCGGCGGGCCCGGCTGGGAGGCGGCTGCGCGTCCCGGCCGCCGCGGGCGAGCCCTCGGGAGCCGGAGCTAGGCCCCTGGCGGGCTTGGCGGCGCCGGGCGGAAACCTCCGGCCCCGGTTCCAGCCCCCGCGGCGGGGCCGGGGGAGGGGGGGGGGACGCCGAGGGGCCGGGGCCGAGCCGCCCCTTCCCGTGCGGCCGAGCCCCGGCCCCCAGACCCCAGCCCTCGGCCTCTCCTGGCAGGTGGCGGACGCCGCTGAGGGCCGGGGGCGGCGTGGCCCCTCGTTTTCGCTGTGCCGGCAGAAGAGGGCCCTTAGGGGCACCCGCACGCTTCCTCGGGGACCCCCTTTTTTTTCCGCCTAGTTGGCTTTCTTTGGTAATGGATGGTGCGGAGTGTCAGGTGAGCCGCATCCCGGTGCGTCAAAGTAGTCCGAGTCACGAGCGGCCAGTGGGCGGATGCTTGGCGTCCACCGCTCGCATTAAACCAAAGTGGGGAAGTGTTACCGTTTGACTCTAGCGTTATTGACTTACAGGGTATACAGGAAGCACGGAGAGATGTAATCACTCAGGCCAGAATAAAGTTTATTGCTTATTATTATTATTATTTTAAAGACGCCTGCTTGTGGTAGTGAATGGGTAAACAGAGGCTGAAACTGCAGATGGTTTTGCAGCCTGTAAAAAGATGCTGTATTTGGGTGATTAATCATGTGCTTTGTCGTTGAATGATTGCCGATGGCAAGTATGCTTCGTTTGAGACTTGAATTAATTATGAATTAAGAATATGATAGAGTCAACCAGTTTATTTTAGGAATTAAGGTTAACACAAAATGATCGCTTTATTAAATGCTCTAGTTTGTTTTTACTAGAGTTTACTTGCTTACCCAGAGATAGGCAAGGTGTGACTTGAAATTTTGTGTTGTTTTAGTCAGCTTAATTTAGGTGGCACAGACTGTAGGTTAAGCTTCTTAAGCCTCTTAAAATTAATTGCCTCTTTCCCTGTACTTGTTTGCTATATTGTAAGTGATAAAACCTAAACGCAGTCTGGAAACATCATGTAAAACCTTTACATAAATTAATAATAATGTCCCTCAAATTTTAAAGGTAGTAGCAACTCTGATGTGCATACCTTGAGGTTTCTTTGATTGTGCCTGACATTCTCTAGTAATTTCTCTCTCCCACCGCCCAGCTTTATTGAGATATGATTGACATATATCTCCCGTAAATTCAGAAGTGTAGAAGGTGGAAGTTTTTAAAAGCTTAATTTAAAAACAATTTCATATTTTTCAAAGACGTGGAAAAATGTGCATTGCTGCTATTTTAATGTAATATTAATAAGCAGCAGAAAAGCTTGTGTTTTTTAATGCTCTAATGCATTTATTCCCTCTGCTCACGCTTATAATGAAAGGTAGAATGGTCTGAAAAAACTTGACCTATACTGAATTATTGAGCAGGAAATTACTATTGTTCTCAACAGATCTCAAGGCTAAAATCCCAGTCTCTCCTGAATACGGGGAAATGTGTTAGGCATGTTCTGGGATTGTGATTATAGTTATAAAAAACTTGTATTTTTGAAAAAAAAAAACAGCATAAGGAACCTCTCAATACCCATCACCCACACTTAGGAGCTGTCAGGATTTTCTTTATCCATCTCTTTTTCTTCCTTATCTTTATTTTTTAGTCATTTCACCCTACATACTTAACACATCTTTTTTTTTTAAGTGGATTTTTTTCCCATAACCTTAAGATTTTTATTTTTAATGTATCTTTAATACAGAGTTTCACAAATTTCCATCTTTCTAGTAAGACAAAAAACATTTATTGGCCATCTCCTTCAACTACTTTCCTCAATATTAAAATATATTTACTGTGGCTATAATTTATTGAGCACTTAGTACATCCTAGGCCATATGCTGTTTTGCATAATCATTTAAAGCTCACAAAGACCATAGAGTAGTACTTTTTCTTCTGTCAAATGGATGAGTGAAATGCTAACCTGGAGGTTAATTGACTACTCTCCCGTCTCTGAGCTAGTAAGTACAAGAGCCAGGCTTCAAACCAAGATCCTTCTAACTTTAGCACCTGTGCCTTTATCACTCCTCTTAGTTCAGGGGGGAAAAAAAAGTTATTTGGGCATTCAGTAAATATTTGTTGTATAAGTAAATGAATGGAAATACATGTTAGTCCACTGATAACTAGCATTTTTTATACTATATTTACTTGTAAAGCACTTTATGAACAAGTTCCAGAAATTATTCAAAATAAACTAATTATATTGCTAAATTATATCACTAAAACTTATATTACTAAAAATGGGGTATATTTATTCTATCAGTATATTTGCTTCTCTTTCTTTCTTTCCTTTTTTTTTTTTTTTTTGATTCTGATCTTTCCAGTACCTTATTTATGGAAAAATTTTTGTGGAGTAACTATTTTTGAAGAAAGACTAAGAAAAGGCAGACTTTTTTGGTGTACTAATTGTTAAAGGCAGGATTCCAAGTGTGAGGTAGAGAAATAAGAATGTTTAGAATTAACTCTGTAAATGAATAGATCTAAAGATGAAGGTGCATCAGAAATGCTGTTTTTTTCTTGAGTTCATTTTTTACTTCGTACCCTTCTGTAACGACAGAGCACAGCAACTGATGACAGAGAACAGCCACTGATGTTAGAGTCCTGGTGGGTAGACTGTATATTTGTAGGTATTCTCTGAGAAGGAGGAACTGAACTGGTCTTAAAGGATCTTAAGGCAAAGAGGAAGTGGGGGAGGAGGGGAGGAAGCTGAGCAAAAATAGGGCAGTGAATGCATCAAGAAATAAGGTATTTATACAACTCTAAGAGGGCAGCATATTTCATTTGCAAATGTATAGTATTATTTTGAGAGATTCACTTAAAAAATCATTTCACAGCTCTATCAGGATGCTGAATGATTTAGTTACTTGTGAAGCTATTCAGCAGTGGTTATGGGAGATATTTAGGGATCTATTACCAGACGGTAGACATTTAACTTGTCTCATTTAAGCAACTGTCTTATGTCTTCTAGATTATTTTCTTCGCTAATGCATATTCATTCTAGAAAAAGTATATGTGGTTAATAAAAATTTCTTATTTTCATTGTAACCATAGTAGATAAGATAGAGGCTTTCAAGTTAAACCTCCTGCTCCTAACTCTAACACTAAATAGCTGTATGACCTTGAGCAACTGATTTTAATTCTCTGAGCTTCTGTTTCTCATCTATAAAATGTATCTATCTCATAGTGTTGTCCTACGTGATTTAAAGTGCTTAGCACAGTGACTACTGCTTAGTATGAGTATTCAATAAATGTTACCATTATTCCAACTAGTCAGTGAGAAATTTCAAACTAGTTTAATGCTTTTTTGTGGGGGAGGGGGGTCTTTTTACCTAGTGATTGGAAAAAAAATTCACTTTTTTGCCTCTTAATTTTTAATCTTATCATCAAAACAATCCATATAAGAGGTCTGGAAAATAGAAGAACTGATCCACAATCCCGTCTCCCCCTAAAGAATCTGTCTTTTTAGTCCTCTTAATTTGGATGGGCCAGGGGTGGGGGTGGGTGGGTGCGGAATATAGCCTACAGAAAGAAAAAAGAAGTCTATATATCTGCAAAAGAAACTACTGCTTTGGATTATCACTTCCAAGTTTTTGAATCCAGCTGCTTAAATAACTTGTACTTTTCAGTGTGAAGAGCACTTGGCTGGTATGAGGCAAGACAGGGGGAAAGAATGGTCAAGAATGGTGGGCCATGTCAAACTAGAGTCCATGGAGATAAACCCCAGCAGGGTTTACTCTGACAGTTAGGAGGACACTGCTAACTATAGCATTATCATTTTCTTTTTGCTTAAACACATTGGTGTAGGTATTTGGACACTTTTCATCACCCTACTGCTCTTCCTTCACACTTAAGATTGAGTGCCTAAATATAAGAAGTAGGTCAGGTTAATAAATTTCACAGCATAAGTAGCATTTGGTGATTTTACTTTTTAGTGAGCATGAAACACATTTTGGTGAATATAAGTGAGAACTTCAAGATTAACGAAATTTGCAGAGAATGATGTGAACTGAGATGCATGTGTAACACTTCCTAACATTGTGGTAAATCCTGGAAACTTGAATGGTAGAACAGAAGCTATGGTTTATTTTCCATTTACCTTCTCCTCACTAGGGGCATTTTAGGCTTTCCCTCTGCCAAAGTTCCAGTGACCTTCCAGCTTATAAATTGATTTTGTCTTGCTGCAGAAACATCCCATATTAAAAGGCTTTCCCTGTCCACTTCTCCTTTCTTCTGGTGTCTGGTCCTCATTCAGTGATTCTGACTTGGAGTTTTTGGCTCCTTCAGGATCCAGGGTTCCAGTGGGTCCAGAGAGCTGAGTCACTTGTATGATTGAGATGTCAAGAACCATTTAGATACAGATAATCCAAAACTTTTTCTGAACATTACTGTCTAGTACCTGGGTTTTATAGTCTTTGTAGAATGGTGGTATTCTCATCTTGAAAAAGTACATGCTGCAGCTCCCTCTTAAACACATTTTTGCTTTCCTCATCAGATTGATTTTACCTCATCTTTGTCTTTCTAGGGGCTTCGATGGAAAAAAAAAAAGCCCCCTCCCCACTGTTTTCTGTCATCTGATTTAACTTTTTTATTATCAACAAACATTTTTCATCTTTAAAGAATTAAACCCAACAAAAGTTACTTATAAATCATGGTACCAAATTAAATCTTTTAACAACTATTGAGTGCCTTCATGCCAGAAACTGGTCCAAGCAATGAGCATATAAGCAGTAAACAAAATCCACGAAAATTCCTGCCCTTGTGCTGCTTACATTCAGGAGGGAGAAGGAGAGACAAAACGTTTAGAAGTTAATTTGCTAGGGCTATGGAGAAAAGTTAGGTAGGAAATGGGGGTAGGGAATGTGTGGACAGTTGGGTGGGGGGTAATTGAGAGAAGTAAATTTGCCTTATGTGAAGTTAGTTATTACTAAGGAATTCAAGATTTGGGAAAGGATTATTCTGTGCGTTTTATGAGTAAACGTAGTATTTCACATCATTGTATTTAAAATAAATGTCCATCCTTTCAGTATTACTATTGGGTTTGCCCCCAGCACACCTCTGAATATTTCTGTTTTCTAGTAATTTAAGCCAGAACAACAAATCTCAGGCACAGCAGGAGTCTAGAGCAGAGATTTGTCAAATGGTTTAGAATAGATACCTTAATTGTTTTTAAATCCTGTAGGCTTTTTGTTTATACCATTTTTATGAGTACTATATGTTCTTTTGGAAAATTGGAAAGCAACAGGGAAATTGAAAGAAGAAAATAATAGTCACTAATAATCATATTACCCAGAGAAATGGTCAGTATTAATATCTTGGTAGATCTCCTTCTAGAAATTTTTCTTTGCAAAAAATGGAATTATATATTCTGTGTAACCTGCTTTTTTAGCTTACTAGCATTTATCAAAAACATGGTTCTGTTTTATTGTATATTTATGTACAGTGTAATTTTATTGGCTCAATTATATTGCCTTGCTACCACAGAACATTCATAAGGTCTAATATGAACTGAGCATTCACTGTATTCTAGTTTTGAGAAACTTTATGTATTTTTACTCATTTAGTTTTCAGCCTCTCTTTGAGAACTGTTCTATTATCATTTACTTTTCAGTTGAGAAGATTGAACAAGGACAGGTGTAGTAATTTTCCCAAGATCCCATAGCTGATAAGTGGTAGACAGAGGATGTGAACTTAGTCTGGCTCTGTATCCTGGGCACATATTCGTTCTGTAGCATTAAAGTATTTTGTAATTATTTTTTTAATTTTAAATTGTGCCATAGTTAACATCTTTATAACTCTATGTGCATCTATGAGTGTAAACTTACTGCCAGCTTGTCTTCTAGAAAAACTTTTCAGTACCAAAGTGTTCTCCTACCAGTGAAACCAGTCCTATTTCCCACATCCTCAGAAACATTGCCTTTTTTTTTTAATCTGCTAATTTGATAAAGACCACCTTATTTTTCTTTATTATTGAAGTTATACTTTTAAAGATTTTTTTCTTTGAAAAATATTTATCTCTGCCCTTTCTCACTTCTTTGGCATTTTCATCTCTTAGTTGTTTCTAAGGATTCTTTATATTTTAAGAATAGTAACTCTTTGCCTTATAGGTATAATTTTTCCCAAGTTAGTTTCTTTGTTTTTAGATTTTTATCAATGATGAAAGCTAGAATTTATATAGTACTTCCCATATGTAGCATTAATCTAGCTCATTACATTTATTCCCTCATTTAATTTTTACAGCGTTCCTATGGGGTAAGTGCTATTATTAGTCCCATTTACAAAGTCCTCTGACATTGTCTTTTAATTCTTTTTTTTTTAAGATTTTATTCATTTATTTTATTTGAGAGCGAGAAAGAGAGAGAGAGCATGAGGGGGGGAGGGTCAAAGGGAGAAGCAGACTCCCTGCTGAGCAGGGAGCCCGATGCAGGACTCGATCCCGGGACTCCAGGATCATGACCTGAGCCGAAGGCAATCGCTTAACCAACTGAGCCACCCAGGCGCCCTGTCTTTTAATTCTTAAACAGCTTTTTCCTCTGTGTCTTTGCCTATTTCTATTCCCAAGTCCTAAAAATCTCTTTTTCTAGCCTACTGGGTGATGCTTATTGACCAGGTGTTCATTACTCAGTTGAGGAGTCATTTCTCCCGGGATTGCTTATCTAACAACTTTCTAGTTCTCTAAGGCAAAGTTAGGTGCCAGTCTTCTGTCCTCTATACCTATAGCACCTATACGAAATTCTTAAGTTTTGGGCTTTTTCCTCTTCTATATTCCCTGCTCTTATACATCTTATCCAGGTGTTACATTTCTGATGACTTTGCAGATATTTGTCAATTTGATTTAAAGGTACTCAGGATGATTATGGTTTTATCAAGAAGGGAATCCACCTCCCAGGTATATAAAATAGAGAAACTTACACCGAGGAAGTAACAATGGAACTGGGCTTAGAAGGTCAGTTGCGGTGGGGGGCGGGGGGGGTGGGGGAGAAGGGACCTAGAGACAAACTGAATGAAAACAGACTTGGAAATTTCCCATTTGGAGAATAGCAAGTTACCCAGAGTGACTTTGAGGATTATTAACCTTGCCTCTGGGAAAGCCTGAGGAAAAAAAATCCCTCTTTCAGCCCAGTATACCTCTTTTGGTGTTCAGAATTTTTGAATCTTCCTTCTAGATCTCTTCGTTCTAGCTCAGTTTCTCTTCAAACTTCCCCCTTTTTTCCAGTGTAATGGGGGAAGTTGGAGGGTCCTGATGTAATCCTGGTAAGGTTTTGAAATGCCCTGGGAAGTTTGGTGGACTGGTGGGGTAGGCCCGCTGGTAGCCTCTGCTAGAAGTCAGAGCCTCAAGGGAGAGAACTGTGAAGCTGTTGTCTTTGGAGACTTGCAGTTCTAGTCACACTTCTCCCTGGCTGTTGGTGCATCAGATGGATCTCAGTTCCTTTTCTCTCCAGCATTCATTACATTTCTGTTCTAATTTTGTTAAGAGACATTTTTCTCTAAATTTACTAGTTTAATTTTGAGGTATACAGACTGCTGGGCTCTTGAGTTTTATTAACAATATAACTTGTCTGTCATTTAATATAAATATTTTTCCAAATCCTTTTCCTCTTTCAATTTAACTTTATTTCTCATTATGTAACATATTTATTTTAAAAATAATACATGCTTAGAGCTACCATACGATCCAGCAATTGCACTACTGGGTATTTACCCCAAAGATACAAATGTAGGGATCCGAAGGGGTACATGCACCCCAGTGTTTATAGCAGCAATGTCCACAATAGCCAAACTGTGGAAAGAGCCAAGATGTCCATCAACAGATGAATGGATAAAGAAGATGTGGTATATATACACAATGGAATATTATGCAGCCATAAAAAGGAATGAGATCTTGCCATTTGCAACGACGTGGATGGAACTGGAGGGTGTTATGCTGAGTGAAATAAATCAATCAGAGAAAGACATGTATCATATGACCTCACTGATATGAGGAATTCTTAATCTCAGGAAACAAACTGAGGGTTGCTGGAGCGGTGGGGGGTGGGAGGGATGGGGTGGCTGGGTGATAGACATTGGGGAGGGTATGTGCTATGGTGAGTGCTGTGAATTGTGCAAGACTTGAATCACAGATCTGTACCTCTGAAACAAATAATGCAATATATGTTACGAAAAAAAAAGATAGCAAGAGGGGAAGAATGAAGGGGAGTTAGTCGGAGGGGGAGATGAACCATGAGAGACGATGGACTCTGAAAAACAAACTGAGGGTTCTAGAGGGGAGGGGGGGTGGGGGGTTGGGTTAGCCTGGTGATGGGTATCAAAGAGGGCACGTTCTGCATGGAGCACTGGGTGTTATGCACAAACAATGAATCATGGAACACTACATCAAAAACTAATGATGTATGGTGATCAACATAACAATAAAAAAATTAAAAAAAGAATGGGTGCGGGGGTGAGGGGGTGGGGAGGTGGTGCCTGGGTGGCTTAGTTGTTAAGCCCCTGCCTTCGGTCCCTAGCCCATTTCTCTCTTTACCTGCCGCTCCCCCTACTTGTGTGTGCTAGCTCTTTCTCTCTGTCAAATAAAGTCCTAAAAAAAAAGAATGGGTGCAGAAAAAAAAAAATTAAAAAAATAAATAAAAATAATACATGCTGATTAAAGAAACTTTGTAAAATAGGGGGAAAAAGGAGAAAAAGTGTCATTCCAAGTCCAACAACCAATAACAACCACATTTTGGTGTCTCCTACGCATCCTATCTTTCTTTTTTGTTGTATTTACATATATATTGTGCGTGTTTTATAATACAACATGGTAGTTAAGAATAACATGGCTTTTGGGGCACCTGGGTGGCTCAGTCATTAAGCATCTGTCTTCGGCTCAGGTCATGATCCCATGAGGTCCCTGCTCGGCGGGAAGCCTGTTTCTCCCTCTCCCACTCCCCCTGCTTGTGTTCCCTTGCTCACTGACTCTCTCTCTGTCAAATAAATAAAATCTTTAAAAAAAAATAACATGGCTTTTGCCCAGTGGAGTTTTAGTTTGAGCTTGGCTTTTTTTTTTATTAGCTTTGTGAGAGTAACAGTCTCACTAAGCCTTGGTTTACCCTTCCTTAAAAAATGGAGATTTCATAATAATA